GGGAAGGCACAACGCCGATCAGACAAGCTTACACCCTGTGTTGATAAGCCAGCTATCAGCTATCTGTCTCGCAAGCCCGAGCACAAGAGGATGCTGGCCAGTCAGTCTTTGTCAGCCCATGCCAACTCCAACATCAGTGGGATGCGGTCGCGGTTCATTCCCCGGCCACTGCCACAGTCCCTGGTGTGTGCAGGAACTTACGGCTGAATTGAAGCTACAGCCTCCATCCACCTGAAACGAGATCCAGCGGAGATCCTTGGGCCTTTGCTGCTCAGGAATCCAAGACCGGCTCGACATCTGCATCTGTGGAGATTCGGCTCAAAACAGTTTCTTCGGGAGTTTCAAGGCTCAAAAACGAAGAGAAGCGATGCTGTCAATGAAGAAAGCAAACAGACATAAAGAAGGCGTCGGGTTGAGCCTTTGGGTTTAAAGGTGCAAGCCTGGCTCGCTTGGGGTGCCAGTCAGTCAGGCTTTCTATACTGACTGTACTTTGAAGCCTCTAAGCATGATCATCCTACATGAGAATGCGGCATCCGAGGACACAAGAAGACTCTCGGAACAGCACCAGTCACGTCCATGTTTGTGCTGGGAGTGTGCAGGATAACCAGATATTTATGCAAAGCCTACTAGAGGTCTGAAGACGAGCCAGAGCCGGCCACTCCAAGCGAGCGGAAAGAGCCCAGTTCAATCGCCCCCCATCCACTCCATAAGGCCTACTCGACCTAAGGGCATATCGACTGTACGTACGCTTGCCATGACATGAATGATGAAGCGGCGCATTGCAGTTGCTTTGGACCCCGCATCACACTTCGTCACTCCTTGCCTTTCAGCCTGATCTGAGGATGGTTCATCGTCTCGGTGCACCACGGGAATTGACTCCTGGATGCATAACGTAGAGGCATATGCATTGAACCGAACCTACCGCCATACCTTCCATAGCTGGTCTATGCCGTCTATGTTCCTGACACCAGTTAACCAAAGGCTGGCTTTCGCGGCTGCTTTTCGAAAGTGTCACGCATCTCTTCTTGTTTGCCGTGCCTTCCCTGATTAGGTAAAGATTAGACGTGCATTAAGCTTGCACCGAAACTTCTAGAACATGAGCCGTCAAGACAAAATGCAATGCTAAAGGATTTTAGCATAAGTTAGCTCGGGCATTTGAACCTAGCCAGCGGTTCAAAAATCGACATTTTACCCGGGGCGATCATGTCTTTGCCTTGGTATATCTTGCCCTTGGCGGAAAATAGATTCCAAGCCGCAGCTTTTCATTCAAGCAGGACTAACACGTCGGACACCACGACTCGAGACTTTCCCAAAGCGTGGCACACCTCACCTCCCCAGACTTAGCTCCCATCAGGGGGTCCGTGCCGCTGCCGAAGCATTGGTCCTCAGCGCGACCTTCGAAAGAGCCCTCCTCAGGCGGGAAGACTAAGACTTCGCGTTGCTGGTGCCCAGGCTTCCTTGGCTACCGCTTCTTTCTCTGGAGCCATCTGTAATCGTACTGCAGCGACTTGTTGTGACCTCGCAAATCACCTGTGATTGCATCATCGATGGTGGCACTCGCATGTTCCGAGACCCGCCGTCCATTCAGTAAGCACCCACCCCACGATGTTGCTTGCAGGTCTAGCTGTACTCAAATAGACTTGAAGCCCTATTTTTCTCATGTCACCGAAATACAACTCGCCGATCGTCCACCAGCACCCTCAACCAACGTCATTCGCGAGGAGCGAACATCGTTCCACTGCCTGCAGACCACTGCCACCTTCTGCAACGGTTCTTCGAGACTCGCCAGATAGAACTCCACTCAACTCTACTTGGTGAAGGTCGGAGCCACTCACATGAAACTTGCGGGACTCCGGCATTTTGGGTGTTTGGACGCGGCTTCGGCTTGAACTGTTTGCTACGGACCTTGGTATGTTGGGAGCCCAAGATGTCGTGGTCAGAGTCTACGTAGGAATTTCCTTTACGTCGACATGCTTCTCAGGAGATTGTGAATTGCCTCATGGTTTTTCGTCAGTTTAGCTTGGGCCGCGCATGTTTGGTGCTCAAAGCAGTGGCATCTTCGGGTTGCTGTACCTGTTGATTGCTTTTTCAGCCGGACTGCAAACCGCCGAGTGTCACGGTGGTGCCTCTCCTTTCTGCCCAAAATCCTGCAGCCATAGATGGCCCCAACAGTTGAGGACAGCACGTACAGCAACGTGTGGACACGTGATCGGAAACGTCACCACCCTGACAACCCGAATGTGCCGCGTGCCTTCCGGGTGGCCTGGATTTTTGGATTGATTACGTGTTTTCGTGCACGTAGCTTGTGGAAGCCTGCAAGACCTGCTCCCCCCAAGCACAAGTCACATGGTACAGTGTGCAACTCCAGCAGGGCAAAATGCATTGCCACCGCAATACATGATTCAAAGATTACGGTGCCTGTATATGTGATGAAAGCAGACGGTTGCGCATACCGGATCCTAGAGAAAGCTTTTGAGATTTCCAGACACGGCTTGAGCTTTAAAGGTGGTGCGTGCCTACCGAGCGGAGAACTTGAAGAACTGGCAGCTGCCTTACCTTTTACGGAAGCCAATGCATTCACTCTTCAAAAATATTCTCGCGTGTGCTGAGGCAGGAGTACGCGGTGCGGCGGGCCGAGCTGCTGAAGGATGCCAAAGACAGGACGTTTCAGCTCTGCGACGTGCAACCCAGCATGGCTTCTTAGTGGCAAACAAGCGGGGCAAGCACTCCAAAAGTCTCTCTGAAACTCTGACTTCTGGGAGGAATGGGGGTAATCGGAAGGGCCCTTTGCGATGACTTGAAAAGTCCGCAACTTATGTGCCACCTGTGTTTACACCAGAGGGACAACAAATTCCCCACCGCACAGGAATGGGCTAGCTACACCCACGCCTTTGGCATCGAGCCTCTTCAGCGTGCATGCAACGAGTGGGTGCTCTAGCAAAACTGCCAGCGGGGAGCTGGCTCAGGATTCATGCACGAATCACTCCTGGCATCACTGCCCATGCACATAGTCGTAGACGAACGGTCCGGCGGTGTACACAACAATCGAAGCAAGCATGAGTGGTCAACCTGACTTGCTAAGCTATAAGTCCGTAGCTGCGAGATGCTCTGGTTCTGGGAATGGTTGAGCTCGTGTTTCTTTGCATCCTTCCGGAGAGAGATGCTGATTGCCATGGCCAAAAACCCAACAGCATCTTCAAGCTAGGCATTGCTTCGCGACAGGAGTAAAATTTCTGGGTCCAAGACCCTGTGCAGCAGGCATCGTCGTCCGTCGGGATGTCTTGCAATCTTTTCCCGGATGAATGCCCTTTAAATCTGTCGGAAAAGCACTTCAGGTGCTTTTTCATGGGACCGCTCCGCCTGCAGCGCTGGCCATTTGCACCTAGGCGGTGCAGTTCTTCGGGATCGTTCTGCCGTTTGGAACACGCGGATTGGGTGCCTGAACTCCAAGGCAGGCGAAACTGAAGTCCTTGAAAGCCAAGGTCGCAGCGACTTCCGCATCAGCCTCGCTGGCGTGACTCGGAGAAACCGACCCTACAGCAGATCTTACAGCACCTTTTTCTTTGGATGCAAGGATAGTACGGGAACCCTTTATGGCCGTGGCACTTACTTCGCCGAGTCCATCACCAAGGCTGACGAGCAGCGTGGCGGCAGGAGCGGTTCTGAGGGGGATACCGGGATACCCGTAGGCCGAGAGCATCGCCCAGGTACGCCAAGGCAGCAGATGGGGAGTATGCCATGTTACTGGTGAGGGCTTTGGGCGGCCGTGTCCGCTACTGCAACTCGCCCAAAAACCTAAGCCTCCGCTGTCCCTTTGTGCTGAGACCTAGCAGCACGGAGTGTTTTCGTGTGGATGAGCTGATACGCCTAGGGCCTAGGCACTTCTCAGGTCCAGGCTGGGAAAACACCCCTGCGAAGCTCTTCACATCAGCGTGCACTTGCAAGCCTTTGGGATTGCCAGCGTGGTGGTACCTCGTGTGTAGATGCATTGTATAGCAGGCCCATCAAGTCAATTCGGCCACTGCTGCAGAGTTTCACAGCTGCTTGCAACGCTTTGCGAAGCTAGGTGACGAGGTCGATCCAGATGCAGAGGACAGGGCTGCAAACCTCTGCAGAGCTCATGAGCTGGCAGAGGGATTCCTGGCGCGGAATATTAACCCCCCCCCCGGGACCAAGACTTCTCGCAGCCCGATCCAGTGCTGCAGGATCTCACTCGCAGCTGCATCGAGGGGCCGTACGATTGTGTTTTGGGCGATCCTTGGCTATCTATTAAACGTCTCTGGCCTGGAGGTTAGGGGTTTGGTTCTCATCTCAAAACTTGGAAGTGCTTCTCGTTTCTTGGGTCGTGGGTGCCCGTGTGGCCTTTTTTGGTGGGTCTCCTCATTGAAACTGCACATAAGGGTATTTGCCGTGGGCCCCTTCATTGTCAAAAGGGGATCCCTTGGCGAACCGAGCTCTCGGCCCTTTGGCTCAGGACCGGAAGAAATGCCGGGGCACGTACAGGGAGTTCGTTTTCTTCGACACCGAAAACCTCTACCCAGAGTACATCGTCATCTACACCCGGAGCTACTAGAAAAGTCCCGTTCGAAGCTCGACGTCAAAGATCTCCAGGGCCGGCAAGACGCTTTCGCAGCGATTGTAGGCACAAAGTTGCCTCCAACGCGTGGAAAAAGGAGCCAAGGGTGAAAGGTACATGGATTCAAAGCCAGTTTCTTGGGCTGCCATTTCTTTCGACACGCTTGGCGTTCCCGCGTTTCGCAGTAACCACATAAGCAAAAACCGCACTAAACAGCCTGGAGCTTTCTGCTGGCATCAAGGAAAGGTGGCAGACAATGATTTCCCTTTTGCAAATAGCACGGGCCCATCATGAAGCTCGGCATACGAACTCTCAACTGCAGCGGAGTCGAAGTGACCGCGAACCTCACTCCGATTCAACTAGCTCTGCTTCTTGTGGCCAGGGCCACCGAAGCCCCCAAGCAATGAAGTCGAAGCCCGTGCAGATGTGGCCACTATTTCCACGCCCTTTGTTTACGGCGCCATCTTCGTGCATCGGTGTGACTCGGCTGGTTGAGATCATGCACCAGTTTCAGGCTTTAGCGTCTGGTACCTACGAACAGAGTCCTGGATGCAAAAGCGTCTGGTACCTACAACTGATTGATTCGTGGCGATTCTCTTGTTGCCTGCGAACGTGTTCACTCTTCTCGCTGGCGTGTATTTCCGGTTTTTGTATGCAAATAACAGAAATCTTAGGCGGTTGCTTGTAAGAATAATATCTTCTATGTCCATGCTATTGCTTCCGCTTCGGATTTCGGATTAGTGCATCACGTGCCCAGACTTAAGACTCATGCCTGCATACAATTTACATAAGAGCCCGCATCGGCGTGCTGAGGAGTGAGGGGACTCGGCCAGGACAATCCAGCGCTTCTTGGCACGTGAAACCTAAGATCTCCTCAAGCATGTGAACCTTGGACCCCAAGAGACAGCCAGATAGTGTTGCTGGCTGGAACCGGTGGCCGATCTCGCTCCCAGCGCTTTCCACTCCCTCAGGACAGCTGACGATTCCTGAGTTCCAGACCCGTCCAGGCATAGCAAACATGTCCAGAAAGTGGCAGTATGATTACTGGCTACTACAATGCTTATCGCTGCCACTTGATATGTCTGCATGGTAGTACGTACGACGCAAGCTCTGCTGCCACAAACGAAACATGGAAGCCCTCAGCCAATTCGGATGCCAGCGTACTGCCGTAGCCCCAACTTCCAATGCCCAGAAGCACGTCCACCCTTATTTCCTTAAAAGCCCAGCGTAAACGCCAAGCCATTATGACGCAAGGTTTGTCCGAATTGCCGTGCCCCCGAAGCTTCGGATGCCTCCAGTTGCGGGCAACAAACCCAGCGTTGGCGCATCGAAGAGGAGCCTCCGACCTTTGAAGGGATAGTAGTCGAAGTGGGGAGTTTGCTATTTTAGCTTTGCACAATCCTGAAAGCCAAAGCAGCCTCGCTTCAGAGCATCGTCCTCAGCCATGCGAGAGGGAAAAAGCACAGCAATCTGAAGACTGAATTCGCTTCTAGTCCCTAGAGGGTAGTTATACTACAATATGTGGCTTGAGGCATCTCTCGCATCTCTCGGGCTTCGGATTGGGAGAATTTAACCTAAGGCCTGCGGTGTAGGCTTTGGCAGCATTCAGGCTTTGGTCCCCGCCTAAGAGAGAAGAGAGCCGCCTGGAGAAGCCCCAGCAAAACCTTGTGGTAAACCTCAAGAAGAAAAAAAAAAAAAGGGCTGTCATGGGCAAGCCCCCTGTGCCCGCTAGCTTCGAAGACTCGGTGCTACAGACAAAGCCAAAGCAAAAAACTGAAGCTTCCTGGGTTCTGGTGCCTTCGAATTGCTCTGAAGTTTACTCGTTGATTTTTCGTGCTGAGTCAAGTAAGCAATAATAGTTGTGTGGAGAAGACAGGAAGGGCGTGGGGGCTTTTCGAAGAACGTAAATTGAAAAGCATCCAGAGCTTTGGGTTCTGCTGGTGCAAATAAAGAGGCCCTGGTTTCAGCCTGCTTCAAGTTGCTTTGATTTGATCAGTCGAGTGGCTACAAGCAGCTCCAGGGGTAGCTCTCCATGAGACCGCTGTTTCCTGAGGGGTTTGAAGGATCTGAGGCGCCGTTTCCTGTTGCCACGCATTTCCGAAAGCGCCGAGAAGCTTCAACTTCCTTTACTCTCTGGCGGGAGTGAAATGACCCTCGCCACAGGACACGCGGGGTCGAGCTTTGGGAAATGGTCCGTATCGCTTCTTGGCGGTGCTGTGTGTGGACCCGGAGGCGCACAGGGGTCTCTCACAATTCAACTATCTAGAGTCACCCTCAACGACCTGTTTTTGCCTCGAGGCCGTTCTGGATAGCTGGGCGCTCAGATCGACTTTTGCTTGTAGTTGCCGAAGTTGGGCCGGCTGTGGGGTCACATCTTTGCGCAACCTTGTTCTGGATGTTGCTGCTTTGTGGGCAAAGAAAGTGACAGCTGGCTGGGAGCCAATGTCACGGCTTTCAACCGTGTTTGTTGTTGGGTCGTTCTCGTTGGAGACATCAAGAGATGTGTGCTAGGTGTGTGCTTGTTTCACGCCGAATGCTCCTGGCAAGCTGTCAGGTTCCGTCGTGATGCAGCAGATAACACGTACCCTGAACATGACGCCTGTGTCTCAGCCGAACCTCGGGTATACAGACCGGGGTGCAGGCATGACCGGCATGACCATGCCATAGTGCTGCCGAAGTGGCCTTCCGCCGTCGAGATCCAGGAACTTCGCCATTTGCAGTGGATGTAACAGAGAAGCGTCGTAAGGCCTCGGGCTGCTTGGCCGGCCAAGCGGGTGTATCAGCAGAGGTTCATTTATCAGGCCAAGCTTTTGCGAAGGATGTGACAAGTCACCCCAAATCCCAGGCCACCGATGTTTACTCGCGCTTTCCGAACACAGTTTCTGTTCTAATGCATTCGTGCGTGTTATCCAACGCTCATGGATCACAGACGGTCAAACGGCCGGGCGATGAATTCAGAGCATGGCTTAGAAGACTTGGTGATGCGGTTAGTATGCCAGACCTGAGATTGCAGCCACAGAACCGCGTTTTGTAGACAATGCACCTGATCTGGCAGAAATACCTGCGGACCTTGAATCAGAACAGATGGACCGGTATGGTTTCCAGCATTCCGCTTGACGGTTTGGGGGACCATGCTTCCTCGAGGCTTGTGCGCAGCCCTAGCCCTGCAGTCAAATCCTCGTTGCTACTTGAAAAGACTTGCTGTAAACCATTGAAAGCCTGAGATACTCTCTGCTGCAGAGGGCACTGGGCTCCAGCTTTCCAAAACCGAGCGCGAATCCCTCGATGTCTCACTCGGCGCCGGTCAAAGTCAGTTTCCGGATTGGGTGTTCTGGAGATTGTCAGCTGCACTTAGCACACATCGTGACACAGGGAGCTCATGGCACTGCGAAGTCTGATGACGGGAATGCCGTGAATCTACCCCGAATAGAAAGCGAGTCACGGCTTTGTTTCAGAATATGCAAACCTGCACGAAAGATGCAAACACTACTCACTACCCGCACTCATCACGGGCGAAACCGAGACAAGACTCCCTGCTGCAGTGCTTTTTCCTGCTTGAAGACTTCTTGAGCACGTAGCCGCAGCCTTGTCACGAACAGTACGCTTAAGACAAGCTCCAGGCTCTCGGAACCTCCAAACCAACTCAAAGCCCTTATCTGCGGAGGGTGCTTCGCCCCAAAGTCTGGGCACCACTGTGGCGACTTGGAGAATAGATTTGAAGATCATTTCGCGGCATGATCGATTCGAGTCCGTGTGAGAGAGAGAGAGAGAGAGAGAGAGAGAGAGAGAGAGAGATTTGAAGATCATCGGGAACCACAACAATGCTCCTCCGCACGGGCTGCTAAACAGATCACCGAGGAAGATTATCTTCAACTTGGCTTCCTGCCTCGGCGAGCGAAAAACTGAAGCTGAGGAGTGTCCAAGCAGCGTGAGAAGCAGCACGAACCGCCATCTTTTGGCATCAAGTCGGAGACTTGCGTGATAGAACTCTGTGGCGTCTGGGCATGAATCCCAAGACTCGGCCGCATCGGCTCAAGCGTTACGAACTTCTGAGGCGTTTTTTGTGTTCATGCGAAGCTCGACGTTGCCGTCAGGGGGTAATTCTGCTTTTTCGCAGTCAATTTCGGTTGCCGACTAACCTTCCCAACGAAAAAGCATCTTTGGACTTGGGATGACTTAGTTATAGTTGTTGTTTTGCTTTTTTGGTTTTTCCGCGGATGTGGCACGTGATTATGGCAGGTGCTCTGCGAGATAGTGCATTGCGGCCGCACTAGCTTGGAGTTATAGCTGGGCCTGTGGTCTGTGCAAGGGCTTCATAACCACAGGTGCATAGTAAAGTTTGCAGCGCTGAGGGTTTAAGGTTCATGGTCGGCTGGGCTTCGTTTAGTCTCCATTCGTTAGGATAGGAAAGACTCGGAGGTGCCCAGGGAAGAGAAGAAGACACCATAGCTTAGGCTCTCGTCTCCCTCGAGAAGTCCGAATTGCAGACACAGACGAAGGCTCTGCTGCAGCATAACGGACGAAGGTGACCTCACGGGGTATTGCTTCAAATATTTCAGGAAGGACGGGCTCGGTGAAAAAGAGTTTCTTCAAAACGACAGCAGATCACGGGAAGGAGTTGCCTGCTAGCTTGCTAGGACCTGGACGGCTGTTACTCGTACAACACCTCCGCCGTGGGACATCGCACCGTGTTCATGAGCACGTGCCGATATGCAGCCGAGTGTCAAACGCCTTGGACGCCGAACCACGAAGGACTGAGTGGAAGAAAGCAGTTTCTTCCCTGCAGCTGTCAGCTATCACAGGGGTAAGTCGCGGAAAGGGGTTTCCTGCCAGCTTGAGGACAGCTCTGTTCTGCAGAACAGTCGTGTGCTTGACGACGTGGAGATGTGACCTTGTACTCGTACTGGAGCGGCCGAGTGCAAAACACCTTCCCTCTTGCAGACACACGGCAGCCACGGCACGTCTGGAAATCGGCGCCGGACTTTGAACTCTGACGCCGTACCTCTGAAGCCACGAAAGAGCAGAGCAACAGCGGCTCCGGCGCGCCTCCGGGCCGCGGGCACTTCGGAGCCCAGCGAAGCTCCGCCTGAGGAGAGAAAAAAAGCACGGCGCGCCTTTGCCGAATCCCGGCGCGACCCCCGAGCCCCGCCCACGTGCTGAGTCCCGAGGCTATGATCCAGAGATGCGTCTCTATGGTGGCGAGGAAATGGAGATTGGCTTGGAAGCTCGGACAGGCGACAGGAAGGTGTTGGCCGCGTATGCACACTGGAGTTTCGAAGACAGGGAATTAGTTGATCTGATGCAAAGTGTGGCGAGAAGCTACGTGGCTGAGGCTTCCGAACTTGGATGTCGGCCGCCCAGAGGTGTCCAGCTACACCTGCGAACCCTCTTGGATCAGATTGAAGCTGGTTTTACACCCTGGGTTTGTCGAGTTACATCCGATTCGCACCGTGCATTTGAAGGAGGCTGCAAGACTAGCAGTGTCCGGGGTTGTCATAGTTGAACCGTCTTGTGCCGTCTTGGTGGTCCACCGTGCTCATCGAGCTGCTGCGCTTTGCTACGCCAACTATCACAACTCCCCCTGGCCTGCCCCCAACTACTGCCCAAGACTTTGCATGATCTTGTCCGGGCTCCGTCCCCAGGTGTGGAGGCGACATTGAGTATCTCCCCTGCTCACACGTGCTTCCCTCAGCGCCGTTCCGAAGACCAAGCTCTCTGAGATCCTCGCGGTTGTACTCTTGGAAATTGTCCTGAGTTCCATAGAAGATAGCAGATAGCCGAAGACGTCGGCGGCGACAAAATCGTGTGGACGTTGCTGGAGTTTGGGGAACAGTGCTTGGACATGAGGAAGTGTTATTTGATTCAGAGCTGTTATTCTTTGTCTTTCTCTCTCTCTCTCTCTCTCCACTGTCCCTTTGTCTCCTCTCCGTCTCTTGCTGCCAGCAGTCCGGTCTAATGTGCTGCAGGCTGGCAAACAACGGATGTTAGAACTGCTTCAGCATGGCCAAGTCGTCTCTCCTTTCTTGGCTGCTTCCACCAGTATCCGGGAATGGTTAGCGAGTAAGCTTCGTGCAGGGGCCAGGCAATCTTAACAGAGGGCGAGGCAACAAAAAGCATCAGAGAGTTTTTGTCCAGTGCGGGTTGCCTGTGTAGCCTGGCCTGGCATGTGGTCGCATTTCTGCAGCTCGAATCAAGGTTGGTCACATCTTCCGGACGCCTGCCTACTGGAAAGGCAAGCAGCAAGCTGCTGTTTGGGCAATCACTGCTTGACGTATTTCGTGGGGTGGCTGTTTTAGAGATGTTTCAGCAGTAGCCTTCTGATCACCGCCCATGTCGACGTCACCACAGGATGTATTCGCTTTATGGGTTATTGCTTTGTATTATCATGCATGCAGTCAGAAATACTGAGCGGTTATGGCAACGGTTTGCCGAGTGCTCACAAGCTGGCGTCATCACATCGTACGTATGCTTCAGCTGTCCGACAAGCTACCGTCCCTTCAGGTCAGGACGAGATCGTTCATTGGGGAAATTTCTGTGGGTCCGTCCAGCTCGTTTCGTGTCTTGCGGACTGCCTGACCACGTCCGCCATCCTCAGTTCCAAGGAAGAGAGATTGACACATCTGAGCAACCACCCATGAAGTTACATGATGTTTTTTGGCTTTATTTGTGGTGGCGTGTCCCTTGAAGAGCTCGCGAATGAGATGTGTTTCTCTGACCGTCTTTTTGCGATCTGGAGTCTCGTTAAGCTGATCCGCGGCACTGCCACCGCATTTCTCCTGAAAATTGTGGCAGGATGACACCTTTCTTGGCTGTGGTTTTCTGAGGGCTCAAACGCTGACGCCATCATATTAGAAGTTTCATGTACCTGACAAGCCACATCATCCTATCAGCAAGAGAACAGCGCTTTGATGTGAGCTTGTGCGTGCATTGCCTTGGCAGTGGCGGTGCTGTGCCCAGTGAGGAGCTTGATCTGTGGCTGGAAG